GGTGTTCGATAGTGGTTTTCGATGTCAATAACGGTGGTTAGATTGACACATGTGGTGGTGGCGGTCAGGTTTTCTAGAGGTCGTCGGTGGTGGATTGATTTTTCTAGATATGAGTCCCGGTGGTTGTTGGTGGTCTCCGGTGACTACTGGTGGTGTCGAGTGGCATTCATCGTGGTGGGAGTGAGAGGAGACTAGGTACCACATATCTATAAATTGTTTAATTAGTTTTTTTATAATTTATAAATGACAAACGAAAAAATTAATAAAGAAAATACAAAGGGCAATATAGTCTTTTATTTCTATGAAGGACGAAAAACGCAATAAAATCATAACCTAGGGACGATCCGAGTGCAAAAAAAAAAAACTTAGGGACCAAACTAGTAGTTTTAACCAAACCATAGGGACGATTTCAGTAATTTGTTCTTACTTTAAAGTGATAATTGATCTGTAACATATTTATAATTTGGGATATTAGCAAAAAAAATTATCACAAAAAAAATTATTTGGCAATTTTTTTTTATATATTTTCACTAAATTTGGGATATGTAATCTAGACTCGCATTTTAAATGTTATTCATAAGTATTTTCTTATTCCAAATATGATTTAACTTTTTTTTATAGCGTTCGACGATCCTACTTCTTATATCATCTGTCTTTGTTTCCTCCATGTTGAATATCCCAAATAGTTATTTTACAGTTGAATGGAGAAAACTGATTTGTAAAAATCCATTCTCATCTAACACTACAATTACATCCAAAGGTGTTTAGCAAGCGACATCAAGAGTTGACAAATAAGTGTCCATTAGCCAAAAAAGTTGAAGATTCAAGTTCCGTTTAATGACAAAAAAATATATTTAAGAGGAAAGTAATGGGTGCATATATAAATCGTTATTGTAATTTGTGGATACATGTAACGTCCCAAATTTCAAATCATTTTTTAAATCAACAAACATTCTATTCTCATTCATAAGAAAATAAGTAACCATGTGTTCTTAGTTTGGTAAACCATAAATAGATCAGAGTATCAAAAGACAGTAAAAACAAGGTGCATAATCTCCATAAATACAACTCTCAGCAGATGTGATGCAATTAAGTCACGTCATTCCCCTTGCTGCCAGAACAACTTGAAACATTTTAAACTTAAAACCGTAAGCACAAAGCTTAGCGAGTTTCCCAAAATATCATATACTCATGTGAATGTTATGATCCAACCATAATCTTACACTCACTTCCGTTGCTACAGTTACAATTGCAGTCTTTCTTGCTATAGTTTTTTGTACCAGTGTTATGGTCCAACCATAGTCTTTCATACAAGTGATATAATCCAACCATGGTCTTTCATCCAAGTGTTATGATCCAAATATATTATTTCATGCAAAGTCACAAAGACAATCTAGCATACAATGACACCTAATGTCCTATATAATATAGTTATAAGACTCACCTGAAGTAACAATTACAATCTTAATATCCTACAAATCTAATCAGCTACCACGAACCACATACAAATCACATAGAGGTTATAACTGAGTCTATAACTCGATTCCAACAAGTTTGACCAAAAGTCAAACTTTGGTCCAAAAGTCAAAGTCAACGGTCTAGGTCAAACTTCCTACACGCAACATAGGTTCAATCTGCGTGTGATGAACAGTCACACATATAGGTTGTTGCTACGATGGCTCCTCAACTAAACACATTCAAACTAACCCTAATAAATAATCAGGGTAATAACCCATAGAAAATGGTCCAGATTATAATCTAATAACTAAGGGTAAAAGTCCATTTTACCCATCTCTTAATTGGCCCATCTAATCATGGCCCAACTCATAAGGACCTAAGGCCCAAACTGCTGGGTTTTGAGCATAACATCATTACTATGGTGTACATGCACCCTAATTGCTTTGGATCTAGGTTTTTCTAATTTGAACATACAACTATGAATACCAAAGCAATAATCCTATGACTAGCATACATATATCGAAATTGACATATGATTAGGATTAGAAACTTTACCTCTCTTGTTATGTAGTAATAACAAGTTTAATCCTTCTTGATCTTGACTTCTGAAAGCCTAGTGCCCCAAGTGTTGCACCACTAATGGAGTCACAAACACTCTTGCAAAGGAAGACTTGGGAGAGATGATAGAATTGGCCCTCTAGGGTTTCTTAAAGCATAGATCCAATTTTCACAAGGTAAGGGGTCTATTTATACTAGTGGTTGCTAGGGTTTTAGGTGGAAACCCTAATATGACTGCTTAAGCCTTAAGCAGCCCATGGAACCCTTTTAGAAGGCCCCTTGGACGAAATCTTTATGGGCTTCCCATAGCTTTCGTCCATCCCTTCTATTAGGAGTCCACAACCCAATCTTGCAACTAACAGTTAATTGCAATATCAGTCCCCTTTATTTAATCAATCTCTTTTGATCACCAAATTAACTTCTGATCAATACTAATTAAATAATATGATTTCCAAATAATATATTAATCTTGTAATATATTAAGTTGCATGAGTGAAGGCAACCTAAAAGGAATAATATATTAATCTTGTAATATATTAATATGATTTCCAAATAATATATTAATCTTGTAATATGATTTCCAAATTAACTTCTGATCAATACTAATCAATCTCTTTTGCACGAATTTATTATTCAAATAATAAATTCTACTCTCTCTCCTCTTGTCATCCTATCAAGTTGCATGAGTGAAGGCAACCTAAAAGGACCATGCTCATAATCAAATCAAGTACATACCAAAAATAGTTATGGGTTTAGACACCTAATCCAACACAAACAATGGCCCAAACCTATAAAGACCTAAGGCCCAAATAATGACCCAAAGGTCCTTTGGTGAGTACGCTAAACGTACCACCCTGCTATGTTCCGTGTACAAGCTTTAACAAGGGGTAAACGAGGTTGAACACATTATGCTGAGCGTACTCATATTTACGCACAACCTACTCCCATGATTACCACAATCCACATTAAGCACTTAATGCCTTAAGTCTAAACGTCCAAATCACATATTTTGCTCTTGGGAAATGTCTTAAATGATAAAGTCGTCAACTTGATGCCTTTAGACGGCTCAAAGAAGCCCAAAGCCAAAATCTAACCTTCTAACTCCATATTAAGAACACCAACTTATGCATGGTTGAGTTAAAGCCATCAAGATGCTATTTTCATGCATTATGGATGAAACGTCCCAAAAATAAAGACAAAAAATTTTCGTTTTTAATTTAATAAAACTGTAATCCAAACATCATCATAACATCAAGATAGAACAAAGTGTGTCAAATACATCATGAAACATCAGAGTAATCATAAAATGCGGAACGAGGTGGTGTGTGCACTGCAATCATCCCGTGCTCTTCCCTTTTGAACCAGAAGTACCTGAAACATAAACTGAAAACCGTAAGCACAAAGCTTAGTGAGTTCCCTAAAATACCACATACCATACATAATAATCACATAATGGGCCCCGCCCGTCATCGAGCCCCGCCCGACATCGATCCCCGCTCGGTATACAAATATGTCAGTCATCGGGACTCGGTCGGTATACATAAAACATATAAACACGTAAACACATAACACATGCAATAATCACAAAGATACATAGCATACAGAATGGTCATCGTGCCCCGCCCGGTATACATGTACACATATATCATATGCGAGAGTCACACAAACATCTAGCATCCTAAACATAACAATCATGGGCCATCATTGGTGCCTTCGACCCGCTAAACATAGTGAGAAAACTCACCTCAGCTGTAGAATCATACAGATAAAATCTCAGACTGCT